AATTTGATAATTGTGATTCCTGATAAATTGCTCTGTTAAGTTTTCTCTACATATAAATCTGTTATTACTATCTCTATAAATATTGTTATTCATTATGTCCTCCTTATTCATAGCTTTTTGTTTCACTAAAAATGATACTGGAAATGATAGTTATATCACTGAAACTGTGCTGTATCAAATAAACGTCAGTACAGATAAATTCAGAGAAATTACCTTCAAAAGTTTATCAAGAATTCTAATTCGTTAATTACTTTGTTCGAAAAATATGCTATTGTCTTAATGGTTGGCCATTATATATATGAGAAGGATATAAAATATATATGTATTGGTTACTATTGTCACTTTCATCAAGAATATTATAAACTCTAACTCTTGTTTTATTGTTTTTTATAGGTCACTATGATATAATCTGTTTCTGTATTTTATTCTAATGATGAGTATACTCTTACCTCAGATAATCTACCGAATTCATTTCCCTTATTACTTTATTCTGCTTCTATAGTACCAAATTTCTAATATTTTTGACAATAATGGAAATCGAGAAAGTTTCATATTAGCAAGATGATTGTATAATAGAATTACTAACAATAAATATATTGATTCTAAAATTATCGTATTATATATAAATGAAAATAATTAGGGGTGTAGCAACTTAGTGAAGTGGTTAAGTTGTTGCACCTCCAAGCGGCATGTTGGCAGATGAGGGTTCGAAACCCACCGATGGCGAAATTTTGAATATTCTGTTTGTACAATGGCTACTGTTTTTTGACGATCGGTTGGAATGGGATCTCTGTAACCTTGGTGGCACCAACAAGATTGGGAGATCATGGGGCATTTGTGCAACGTATAAGTTACACAAAGGCATGCAAGCTGGTATTAGTCAGTGCAAACCCAAGATAAGACCTTGTGTTCGTATAAACCCAGGGTAGTGTTTTGACCCGGGTGGGTATCACCCAGGTCACCCGCGGGTGAGTGGGTCACCCGGGTTGAATCATTACAACCCGGGTGGGTCAACCCGCGGGTGACCCGTCGGTTGACCCGCCGGTTGACCCGTTGGTTGACCTGCAGGTTGACCAACAGAATAAAAAATCACCAAATGCACACACCGCATATATCATCTGGCTTCAAATTTAAATATCCATGTATTTTTGAATGTGTACTCGCGTATAGAAGATAAGCAATTTTAGAACTGACGTCTAATTTTTGACAATTTTCGAACTAATAAGCTCTAAAAAAAATTTTTTATAAGTATTTTATTTTTTAATATTATATTGCCAGATGTTTCGAAACCATGTGACTTATAGTTGAGTGGCGCGATTAATTGCCTGCATAATTTTTCGTGGTCCCAATCCCTAATCCTAATTTATGAGCCCGCATAATTCGTTTGAGATTTACAGCATGCATAACTTTGTAATGACCAGATCGTAATTCTGAACACGGTAGTTTTTTAAACTAATACTAACTCGTCAGGTAATCCGACGGGTAACCCGACAGGTGACCTGTCGGGTGACCCGTTAGGTGATGTTTTGAAGCTGACCTGAATTTCACCCGGGTGACAGATTGCCCACCCGTCGGGTGACCCGGGTGAAGATTTTTTAGACGGGTCAATTCACTAATATAGCTTATACACATTGCTGTTAGCTTATGCATTCTAATACAGTATAATGCACCTATGTAGAAGTCTTCTTGCGTTGCAAAAAACTTATTATACGTACCTAAAACTCGTTTTATATTGCTGAAACAAGTATTTACAATGATTTATTAACATGGTAATTTAGATGTACTGTATAGTGTATATTTATTAACTATTCTTAGTTTTCAAAAAAGATTCGAATTACATTATAAAAATACTATATCTGTTATTCATACTTTATCATTTTGATTTTGCATAAATACATGAATGTATAATACAAATAAATATATATAATAGTATAAGTTATTTTAACGTTAAAAGATCAAAATGCAAAATGAATAGGTAAAATAAACTAGTTTGTACAAATATATGCATATATATATATATATACAATAGTTAATACTGATAGTATTTGTACTAAACACATATATACACAAATAGGCAATTTCAATAATAATAATCATAACCCAAATAATTTAAATCATTTAAATAACTTTCCCCACATTTTTCACAATAATTTCCGTAAATTTCTTCAAAGTCACCACCAATAATTTTAACATTGTCCCAATGCAATTTAATTGCTTTACCTTCCATCACGGTTAATCTAAATTCTAAAAATTCGTACAACGCAGGTGCAGAAACAACCCAACCACTTTCTAAACATAAATTTACCAAATTCATTGGCATCGCCGCCGATATGCTTAACAATAATCCGTCAAAGTCACGTTCACATAAATAACCATCTTCATAAACATAATTACTGTGATTATAATAAGCATACTTATAATTATTTCTCATTGCAGGGAAAAAAGTCAAAGAACTAATAAAAGGACAATAATTCAAAAATAGGGTTAATTCATTAATACATGATTGAGAAACGGGGCCTTCAAATGTCTTAAGATTTGGACATCCTTTGGTGAGAGATTTCAAGAGTAATGAAGAGTTATAAGGATCTTCTAAATAGACACTTTTGAAAACAAATTCAAGTAGATTTGCACCGCAATTTTCGATAAATTTAGAAAAGGCATTTAAATTTACAAGAGCTTTTGAGCTTGAAAAATAAAAAGTTTGTAGATAAGGAAATGAGAGAGAAGACATTGCAGAGAATTTTTGAGAATAATCTCCAAAATCTTCAAGTATTAAGTGTTCAAGGTTGACAAAAGGGGATAAATTTTCTAAAAGAAAGTAAGATTTAATTATACATAATCTAGTAAGATTATTCGCTTTCTTTGTAATCGCATTTGGAATAGTATGTTTCCAATTAAGTTCATGGACATCATTACTAGGAGAAATTGGATTAATTGTATTAATAGTATTAATTGTATTCGAAATGGTAACATCAGATAAATTTTTTTGCATCTTAATTAGACCCGCCATCGGTAAAGCCAAAGTTGGTACCGCATTGTTATTATAATAAATAAAAATTTTGTTGATTTCATTACTCTTATGGGTAGAAATATTTGGAGGATTCAATGCTATTGTGAGATCAACGAACATATCTAGTTCTTGACTGCAAGTAAAAGATTTCAGAGTGGAAAGACATGCATGGGCTTCAGGCATTTGACTAATTACTTTTAAAAAAGGATAAGAAAGAAGGTTTCCGGATTTTAAGACGAGTTCAAAAAGGCAACAAGATTTTGCAAAAAACTCTTTAAATAGTTCATGACCAATAAGAGGAATTGTTTTCTGTTCATCAGTATAAGCGAAGACCCAAGAAGTAATGTCATATTCCAATGATTCAAGATTGATAGATCTTAAAAATATGGCATAATCAAATGTTTTGGAAGAAAGTCGTGGTATTGTTACTCCATTTTTAGTAAGTAAGTCGAGAGAATCTTGTGGTAAGCGAGCAAGATAAGCAGTGATATAATTAAATCTTAAATTTAAAAAACTTTTCCAAATTCCAGACCAAGGTTTTCGCCATAATATTGGAATAGAATTTAGACACCACTCACGGTTTACAAGAGCACAAGAAAATAGATCAGCTTTTTCTTGTTCAAGGTATTCGAAAATACAAACAAGGATGTCACTATTGAGATGTGGGTGCATGATTGGTGACGGTTGAGTAATGATCAAGGATGCATCTTGAATCGAGGATGCATCTTGAATTAAGGATGTATCTTGAATCAAGGGTGCATCTTGAATCAAGGATGCATCTTGAGTCAAAGGTGCATCTTGAGTCAAAGGTGGTTCTTGAATCAATTTAATTAAAGGAGCTTCTTGAATCAAGGATGCTTCCTGAGGAGTTGGAATGTCATTAGAGTAATTAGAGACTTTAAAGTCATTAGTTGGTCTTCTAAAAAGTTTGGTGACGTTGAATTTCATCGTTCATGAAATAAGAAAAAGATAAGTATGTATGTAAATGTATAGGTATTAAACGATCTAACGTTAAATTATTTTAAAAATAAATGCGAGTGAGAACCAATCTTGTGAAGACCGGATTTATATATGTAACGTTCCGACCAGAGACAAATGAATTTACCGTATCTGAATGTACTGTACAAAGTACGAACGTAAATATTTAATCATGTGATAAAATGTAACTAAGTGTAACGAAAAGTTCTCTATCGCTATTATTTAATTGCATATTTACATTTCAGTCTATCTTTATACACTTAATATAGTTGAATTAATGAACTAACGAATTTGTAAGTAGATTATCGGCCTTTTCAAGGATTGATAACACTAAAGTAGTAATAGAATACTAAAAAATAAAGATTATCATCTGATGATTTCTATGGTTCAAATGAAAATGCCAAAGATTTTCTTTAGCATCTCCAATTTTGGTAAAATTTCTAGTATTTATGCGTACGAACCATAAATTGCCATATTTGTACTTTCGAATCTATTGATCTTCTACAAATCCTTCCATTGGTTTGGATTACTGTGCATGAAAATTCTAAGAACGATTTTATCCAAACCAAGAAAATAATGAAACACATCCAAAATTAGTGTACCTTTGAGAATACATCATATGACCTTATTTAAAAATATAAGAACGCTGTACAAACCAAGTTTCAAAAGTACTTATTCGATTCCTCGAAGAATAAAATTCTTTTTATATCATAATCTTTAATTGTAATGCTATGACAATGCGAGGTTATTAAGCTACGTATACATGCTAGAGAGTATATGTATGCTACGTAATGTAAACTTGGATGATGTATTCTGACAATCTCTTAGCACATGGCATTGCTTACTGTTAACATTAATAGCAATTAAAATAATTAGCATAGAACTTTCTCGTCAAATTATATCACTTCTTCTACAAAACTGCGGAATATCATTAACTTCCTTTTGTAGCGTACTACATTAAAAAGTTGTACTATATTGCAGGTTTTCATGTAAAATCCTGCAACACATTGTTCTTTACACTTCTACATTATGATTTATTACGCCTTCGACTGCAAGTTTTATATGTTTTTAATTTAGTAATAAATTTACTTAAATCGATATGTTTCTAACGTTAACTCTAACGATTAATCTAATTAATCTAACGTTAACTCTAACGATTAATTTATGTGACTGACTGAATCCAGATACGTCACGTTTATTTGGTTATTTAATGAGGTGTTACAAGAATGTTAACAGTCACTTCTGAAACATCACATGTGGGACAACTATCCATTATTGTAATTATTTAGTGCGGATCACTGCATTAGGTAATGTCATTAGTCTTTCTCCTGACCGTACGTAACAAAGCCAAAAAATTTTTTTTTTCGGTATACTAATACAAATAAACAAAAAAAAACTATTCCTTCTTTTTTTCGGTAAACTGCCGCTTCGTACTCAATTTCCTATATTGAACACTTTATCTTAACCGTCAGAACAAAAATTAGCTACGAGCAGTTAGGCTCATTTTTATTATCCACTCTTTGACTTTAAAATATTTTTTCAAAAAAATCGATAAAGTAACCTCATTTTTAATATTATTAAAAAAAAAAAAAAAAAAAACACATTTTTTGACTTGTAGAAAAAAAAAAATCAATCGATTGGTGATAAATTCTGATATTTTTTTATTAGTTACAAGTGTAAGGATTTCTTTATATTATTAATCTTATCTATTCTTTTGTCTCAGTAATTTATTTTTATAATACTTTATACCATATTTACAGAAAGATAAAAGTATGGATTCTTCTCATAATACCACAATTAATTCCTACATAAAGGAAATTGAAGGCTACCTCAATAATAAACGAATACTGTACGAAGCAGAAGGCAGAAGAGAATTTGTTCCATTAATAGATCGCACTGTACAAATGATTAGATTAATTAAGGATCCTGGAACAACGGAAGGTCACTCTAATGTCACAGAACAAAGGTATGCTTTGTTGATGATTAATTTCATCTTGATAACCGCCAGTAATACCTTCATATCTTAAAATCATTTGAATTGATGTATATATTATGCTAATCTTCTATTTTTATTTCTAGTAATCGTTCATCCACACAACGCACTTTTGATCGTCCACCAGAAAAAATGTACCATTATGCTGATGGTGAAGCAATTGATTGTGCGATATGTATTGAACAAGTTGAACCGAAACATGCTCAGGTTCGATTATCATGTGGACATATATACCATCTAAATTGTCTGGGGTATGTTCTATTCTTATTAAACTTTAAATTTAATTTATCATCTATCACTATCTTTATTAAATTCTTGTAAAACTATTCAGTTCCCATTTTAATCATTCAGGTAATATATATATATATGTATATATATTTTTTTGTCATATGTGTATATATATTGATATCCTGTCCGATTGTAGGTGATTTTAAATGCCCTTACTGTCGGTTAGAAGTTGAAAGCTATGCAAAGCAACCACGAACTTGGGAATATCCTCCAAATGGTCCACCAACTCCACAAAATCTAAACGATCATAATGATATGTCACATCCAGGAGAATTGGATTTTGCTAACTTTCAGCGAGGTATTATTTTTATTGTAATATTTCTTTGTAATTACGTATTCAGAGAAAAGTGCATTTCTGATACACTTCCGATTAATTAAGGTGTCCTTCAAGTTGTCAATTCAATCTTTGGTGGAAGATTGAATCTTGGTCACCCATTTCGCGATGACAATGGCGTCGAAGATGATTATTTAGATGAAGAGTATGTTTTATTTCTTTAAAATGCTAAAATTATCCATTAATTTGTTTCATTTTACTTAGCTAATTAATTATTTCTTTATTCAGTGACGATGCCAGCGATTTCTCGGATTCTGATCGTATCGTATATGAAATTGCAAATGGTGGTGATCCTTACAATAATTCTGAGACAGATAGTGATGATGATTCAAACTCTTCCAATGAAGATTACGGTCAAAATGAACCTATAAACAATGAAGATAGGATTCGTTCACATTACAATAATGATTCCAGTGAAAATTCATCATCTGGAAGACGAGCTCGTCTTGTAATGCATGCAAGCAATAGTCGTATTGATGATCCAATAGTAATAATTCGTGATAGTGAACATGACGATCAAGGAAATAGGTCATCACAGGAACGTCATGTACGAGAAAGACGTTCAAGGTCTCCGTCAATATCACATCAACGATCAGATCCTATTAATTCTACTATAGCTAATTATAGTACCTATTATTCCGATAGAGATCGTGACGATTTGTACTCTCGAAGTAGCAATAATCTTAGTTCTATTAAAGACAATGAAGGTGGAGAGTCATCAAACAGGTATAATCAATAACCTCTTTTATTTTGTAAAAAATATATAATAAACGCTTACCGAATTTTGGAATTTAGATTGGACCGAAATCGTACTGTTAATTTTCTGGATGGATTGCAAATATCGGATACCAATGATTCTTCCAGATATAGAAATGATGATTCTCGTAGTATTAAATCAAACATCAACGACTTTTCCCGATATAATGATAATGGATATGATGGAACATCCCGAAGTTATGATCATTACAATCAAAGTTCACTGGATTCATCATCTAATGTTCGAAATGACGGGACATTTTATAATAATTCAAATAATCGGCACGGGTTTAGTAATCCCCTTTCTCAAAACATATTTAATGCATCACATCACTCTACACAACAACACTCAACATTATCAAGTCAACACAACCGAACACATTATGGCTCACAATCAGATTCAGAAAATGAATTCACAAATACTATAAGCAGACATAAACCATCATTTCGGTTAAGAAACATGTATCAAGAAGATTCAACAACTGCAGAAGAAGTAATGGATGATACCGATTCAAGTTCATCCTCACCTGAAAATTCAGACGAAGATCAAGATGAGGATGAAGTAATGTTTACCGGTACTTTCAACTGGGGTACGTATTTTAATGCATTATGTAATCCATTATATTTTCATAATTTCTGATTATATCTAAATTTTTAAATAGATGCAGGAAACGATATGGATACTACAGATAACGAAGATACAGAAGATGAAGATTTTCGAAGATGCTTTTCTCGTCGGTCTTCTTCATCTTCATGTTCACCTACATTTTCTTCATCCGATGAAGGAGATGATGAGGATAATATCTCAACAACAAGTATATCTTCACCAATCAGAAACGAACCAAATCCATGGTATAAACCATGGTCTTGGTACAATAATAATCATTTTATATCAGGTACAGCATCTAGTCCAGCTTCAGCTGTTGCTGATGTAGATAGTGATGCTACAATTAGCAGTGGTGATGAATGCGATCATTAACAAATTCTTGGGTTTGCTAAGTTACGGGATGACACACTTTGATGTGATATTAGTGACATTAATTCCAATTTTTTTATAGATGTGAGTACTCATGGTGTCGCGGTTAACTTAGAAAAAAAGTTACACCGGGCGCAACAAAAAGTGTGATAGGGCCACAAGGTGGGTAGGCCTACAAAATATATAATAATAATAATTGGTTTCTGTATTGATGTTAATAATAGTTAATAATAAATGCAAAAAGCAAAGCAAAAAAAAAAAAAAAAAGGTAAAAAAAAAAAAAAAAGAGAAAAAAAGGACGGGTAATGGATCTTTTTTTTTTTTTTAGTATAGGATATATGAGATTTTAGACAAAGGATTGCAAAACAAAAATTAAGTAAAAAAAAAAAAAAAAATGTATAATAATTAGTGAGTGGAAATTTGTAAATTTTAACGTCTTTTCTCCTAATTAATAAAATAAATAAACATAAGCATGTTATTCTAGTATAATTTTAATGTAATTTTAATGAGTAATGCGCAAGGGGAAAATTTTTCTTGGCGAAATTTAAATACGTATTTAAATATAAATATTAATGAACCTTTTTTATTCGAATAAACATCAAAATGGATATTGCATATGACATGTGAAAATATCTGATCATACGATTTGCATTTAATAAATTAAACCTTTTAATTATAAATTTTTATAAGTCCATATAAAAAAATTATTTTTAACTTTTATAGAATTTTTATTTATGAAATTTAAAAAAAGAAAGTGGCTGGGTATATTTAAAATTTTCATGTTATGAAAACCAAGATATTAAATTTGTATGCCTAATAAATAAATTTTTGATATTGTATAATACATAAACTTTTATTTATGATAAAGATTAGATTATAAAAAGCTTAATCATTGTACAGTACATATCGTGTAAATAAATAAGTTAATATAATAACACGTTTAGAATTAAAAAAAACATTATATGTATATTTGATCCATCAATCTTTTTAACCTTTTTTTTGTATTATAAAAGTTCAATGAGGTTGACAATTTCGTCAAAAGTTTCATCTATATACTTCTATATATATATACAAACAATTATTGTTATATACTTTCTTATTTACAAGGGAAAAAAAGTAATCTTTTTTTAGGCTAATATTAATACTGAATTATATTAGAAAGGAATGAATGAAAAAAAAAACATTAGAGAAGTAAAAAGACATAAAACTGTAAGAAGAAAGAGGTTCATCAACGGTAGTGCTTAGAAGTAACAAAATCCGAAAGATTTCACTATCCGTCATACGAGTCTAAACCAGATAAAATATACGTGACTAGTTGAAAAATAGAAAATTTTATTAGATAAATTAATACGTGGTTTTCTTTATTTTTAAGAATTATATTCTTTTCATGATAATTTACATATAACAAACAATTCATAGAGATAATAAATAATAAATACCCTTTAAACCATCTTTTTTGATGAAGAATGTTCATCGGAGGTTTTCTTTAAAGGAGAGCTAGTTGCGACTACAATTCCTGATCCACTTAAATCATCACCAAATGCTAAATAGACAGTCTCACATAAAACATCACGAACTGAAGAGTTCATATTTCCACAACCGTATAACTTAGCATTTGCTTTTCGAAGTGCTAATACTTTCTTGGTAAATTGAAAACGATCACTTGGAGCAGCAAAAGGAAAAGTTTGTGCTTCTAATGCAGGTTTTAAAAACTCAAATGGCAATTCAGCATAAATCTTTGTCAGATGTTCAAATCCATGAGCAGGCCATTTATAAAATTGAAAAACTTCCTGAGGAAGCAAAGCCGTTAAATAGAAAATGATGGCTACACGTAATTCGTCAGGAGTCGCACCCAAAAAAGGAACGGTTCTGTGCATAGCGATATAACTATGAACATTCTCAAGACAAAGAAGGTCGATGAATTCCACAAAGACAGAAGTGTGCCCGTTACATGGTGGATAGTCAAAAGGAGGAACCGGTAATGACCAGTTATTTTTCATCAAAGATAACGGGATTGTTCCTACCCAAATCATGTCACAGATATGATCTTTTTCAGAAAAACAAACTTGATGAGAATCTACGAGAGGAAAATGTTTCGATAACCAAATTGGTGAATTTTTAGACGTTTCGAATTGTAGTATTAGATCATGACTTTGAGTTGAGGGTAAATCAGCACACGGAAGACCATAGTTGGGTAAAAATAGAGCAAAGAATAAATTAGGGTCAGGTAAAGCAACCACTGACAGATTATCTAAAGGCTGTAAAGAAACTTCATTAATACAAGTCGCAGCACCGTAAGAAGTCATGACAGGACGCGGTCGTGATAAAATTTTCCGAGTTCTTGAAACAAAAAGATTGTTTTAAAGGACCGAAAATTTTTTGACAGAAATTGATCGCATTTATATTGATTTTTTGCGTATTTGCTGCGTGAATAGTTTTATTACCGTTTTTGGAAATTTCTCACATGAGTAAACTTTCAATGATTGATGTACGTACATACCTGATACGTACGTACGATTAGCTGTTAGGAATAGCTAGCTATATAAATATCTATACTGCGCCACCACCATCAAATCCTTTTGTAAAATTTCCAATATTAAGACGCGGTGAATCTATTTACGTTGTATTGTTTCATAAAATGCTATAATTCTATGTCACATTGTGGACTCTGGAATATAAGTAACTAATGTGACGCAACGTCGTGTGTCATTGTGCATATTTGAGGAATCCTTGATGTCGATCAGACAGTCACGTAAAATTCCGTAATTCCCAAGATTCAATCCTATAAATGCGAACTATGCTAAATAAAAAATTGATTGGCGAAAAATATTTTACGCGTTATGACTTACGCGCTCTTCATGAAGTTGATCAACAAAAAAGCCAAAAGGTATTAAGGTATAAGGTATTGGTTTTTACTATTTTTTTTTTTTTACTAGTGTTTACTCTTGTTGAATTGCACCGTCATGAAATTTTCTGTTATCGAATGGATCGAATCGACCAATTATAACTAAAAGATTTAACTATAATCAATCAATTAGCATAGCCAGTATTTAAAATCCAAATTTAAATATATATATATATATGAGGAAAATCAATAGAAATAACCCAAATTTTTTTTGACTTTAAGTTAAAATGTCTCAATAACTATTAAATCAAGTTTAATAAAAATTTTTTATTTTAATTATATAAAGTAATAGAATTAAAAAAAATATATATATTAAGAGGTGATTCGCTGTTAAAGGGTATAAGCATCATATAAGCATCATAGTAAAAATCGGCGGGCATTACATATAGAACTTTAATAGTAGTAGGAATGGCCAACAATTTTCACAAAGAGTATTATGTAAACTTCTTTTTTTACTAAGTAAGTCTCTTTTTGACTTCTAATTAAAGTTGTAGAGGAAGTTCATGCGGTACTAATAGTAGTAAGATTACTAAATTTGGTCTGGTGAATCACAAGATATCAACAATTTATGTTTCACAATCATATAAAATTTTTTTGCAGATTTGCAAAGAAATTTTATATGATTACAAAATGCAAATCATTAATATCTTATTATTCATCAGACTAAATTTAGCAATCTTACTACCATTAGAACTACACAAACTTTCTTTATAACCAATTTTAATTAGAAGTCAAAAAGAGACTTACTTAGTAAAAAAAAGAAATTTATATAGTACTCTTAGTGAAAATTGTTGGTCATTCTACCACTATTAAAATTTTATAAGCGATTTCACCAATTTTTACTATAAAATTTTCACACTTCAGCTGTAGACTACCTCTTAAATTTGATTAGATAATTGTTAAAATATTTTGATTTAAATTTTATAAAAAATTATTAAAAAAATAATAGTTTATTTTTTATTAACTTTTTTATATATATTTTTTTTACTTTAGTAGTTTTATTATCAACTTTATTAAATTATTAAAACTTTAAAATTACAAATATTTACTTAATTTTTAGTTTATTTTATTTTATTTTTTTTGGTTTTAAGGTAACCTCTTGGTTGTTTCTTTTTATTTGATTATTGTTAACTTTTATAGTATAGTGTACTAAATCATACATATATTGCTATATACATTAATTATCTAATTAATTGAAAATACTTAATATCATTTTATTTTCAAATATTTAATTTAGAACTTTAAAGCAGACTTCTATTGAGCCCTTTATCCTTGAGGTAAATCTGCTAAAGCCTTCTGTATCTACAATTCGGCCAACCTAGGTTTTAGTTAATACGTATAAGCTGAGGCCCACTACTTGTAGCCCAGTTTTCATAGTAGAAGTATTCTCAAGCTGTTTTGTTTTTACTGGTTTTTTCATAACATTTTAACTAACTATGGCCTAATCTTTGCTACACAACCCACTTCTGTTCTTATAAAGTTCACCCAAACCTTAGTATACTTATAGACTATTACTAGTATCTTCAAATACTCTAAACTATTAATCTAAATAGCTTAAAAGAGCTATAATCTGCTTTTGGTCTCCACAAATTGGTTCTTTTCTTCTGATTACTTCTTTGGTAGCCTGGTTAGTAGAGTGTCTTGCTAAACACTTCAGCTTTGTTTAGTTTAACTAGTTCTCCAAGTATTAATCTGTATGTAATACTATTAAAGATTTGTGTTACCTTTCTATTCAGAACTTTCTAAGTAAGCGCCTCACTGCCGTATCAGCCTTGTGGTTTTTTTGATTTCAAAGAACTTATATTAAGTTTTGTACTGACTAAACCAGCTTGTATATCTTTGTGTAATTCTTTTATTATACAAATGCTCAGAATCTTCCAATTTTTATCTTGGTACAACTATAGTTACAGGATTTCAAGTTTTCCCGGTCATGACAATAGTTGCCAAATCTGTTTTTCTAAAATCTAATTTTTATCTTCTGTAGGAATTGAACTTGTACTTAAGAATGCAACAACTTCAAAATTATCACACTCTTTAAATTAATTTTTTTTAGTTTATTTAACTATTTTATAAGGTTTTTATATATAATTTTTTTTATTTTTTTTAATGTTATAATTAAACTTAATTTATAAGTAGGAGATTTCTATATTTAAAGATTTTAAAACTATATTTGTGCTACTAGATTAGGCACTCAATAGAATATTATACCCTATTTCCTTTTTTTTTTAATGTTAAGATGATTACTCACAGGTCTAGTATAGTTTATTAAACTTTTGGATTGATACCAGTATAGTTACACAGACCTCACTTAATCTTGTTATATTAATAAGAGTATATTCTAGCTATATCTGCACCTTTTGAGTACCTAATTTAAATAGTTTATCTATTACTAAATTCTATACTAGATACTATATCTGCAACTCACTATTACTTAAGTTACTCAATTAAACCCTTTGATCAACTTCACGCTATCATATCTTGCCTAAAGAGAAACCTGCTACTAAGGCCTGCTAAGTCTTTAAAGCAGATTCACACTTCCATATAGAGAGGTCTTTTGACCTTGTAGTAAATCTACTAGAGCAGTTCATGTTCTATATATATATTATCTAGATTTTTGGTAACTTATGCCAAGTTTGAAAACAAATACTTGCGAGCCGAAGCCACTACTGCTACCTGCTCTGTGCCTTTGCAAAGTTCACTTAAATCTTAGTATATACTTAACAACCTATACTTCCAGTTTTCCAAACTAAGCTCTATTTCTAGTTCTCTAAACTTCTAATTCAGATAGTTTAGAAGGGCTGTGATCTGTCCCTGATACCTATAATTAGGTCCTTTTCTTCTGGTTACTTGTTCAGCAGCCTGGTTGGTAGAGTGCCTTGTCAAACACTTCGGTCTTGTTTGGTTTGCCCTTTTCCTACTGTCTGGTTCTCTCTTTTTAAATTATTAGATAATACCGTCAAAGATCTGTGCTACCTCTCTGTTCAGATCTTGCCAAGCAGGTTTCTGTATCTCAATCCACTAATTTTATTCAGCAGCTTCACTGTTATGCAACTTATGCATTACACAGTATTTCCACTACCTTCTAGTACAATGGTACTGGTATAATTCTGTTACAAATATTAACCAAATAGGATACAGTCTTCCAAATACATTTCTGTAAATTTGAATTTCATTGCCAGTAGGATTCAAACTCCTGTCTTGCTACTTGAGGGTGTGACAACTTACCAACTACACTAAGTCACCACACTGTATACTCCTATTTTCTATAAATACTATAATTAAATATTTCTAAATAATTAGCTAGCTAGGATAGGTTGGAGAAGACCTAAGGTATATATCATAGCATTAGTTTATGCAGTTAGTTATAGAAGGTTCTACCACAAAATCCTGATATCCAAAATCTTAAAAACTATAATCTTGACATGACAATTAGTATTTAACAATTAGTAATCACATTAACAATCATTGTTAGACTTTAAATTTTTAATTAGCATATTGGGTGATGCCAGTATTATTGCTTATCAAGATTTTGAATATTAGGATTTTGTGGTAAAACTGTTATAAAAAATCCTTGTAAAAACTATTTTTTAATAAATGAAGTAAAATCTATTTGTAAAAAATTTGTTGATGTTAATGTTGAAGCTTAAAATAGTTTTGTGAAGAAGAATTTTTTCTGTTTGGTTTTAGAGATTATATTATGAGTTTGTTTCTATTTGTATTGAAAAATATTTCTTGAATACCATATTTTATTATAGAATTCATTTAAAAGGTTGTTAGAAAGATTAATAAAAAAGAATTTGGTTTGTTTGTTTGTGAGTGCTTTAATATTGTCAAAGATATTAAGAGAGAAGATACTTATAATATAGTATAGAATTTATTTATATTGAAGATTAGGAGTATTAGATCTAGAAGAAAAGAATATTAAGAATTAAGGATAAAGATATGTCGATTTTTAGAGTAAATAGAAAATATGCCTATTATAAAAAAACTTAAAGCACAAATTATGAATCTTAGCTTATGCATCTTAACTGAAAACTAGATCAGCTGATTGTAGATAGGGCAGTGTCATTTATCATCTAATTTTTTTTTATTAGAAGTTTACCTTCTCTCCTCCTCTCTTTTTATATGCCTTAATCAGGTCTTTATATATAATTTTAAATTTTTTACCACCTCCTCTTCTAAAAAATCACCTGATTTTTGTCACATCCTATACAGAAAGCTTTAGCAGGTTTATTTTAAAGATAAATTAGTTTTAAATTAGTATTTAAAAATAAGAAAATACTAGTATACTTACTTAGTTAAAAGAGCAATATATATAGATACAGAAGATTTAAATAAATAATCTAGTCAGATTATAGAGATGGCATCTAGTATAAAACTTAATAATAAGTGAACTACTTA